TTTTCTCCAATGCCTATTTTCGAATTCACAAATAAAGCCAATTTTGCCTTCTTGCTATATTTTACTCTTATACAAGTCGTTGTAAGCGCTATCTTAAAACCTATAATGGTTATAGTTTAGATAGTTATATCTCAGTTTTGTTGGAGTATTTGTCAGACAATTTAAAACTGCCGAAGTCTCACGTCCACTTGCTCAAGATTATTCATTATTTCTGAGCATGAAAAGAAGGTGAAGTGTAGAGGTGTTTTGGCTCGGAATTAGGGGTATCTCTGAAGCTCAAGTTGGAACTTTGTTCCTTCTTTGTCCTTGACATCTTCAGGAACCCTTGGAAGTTTAGATCAATTAGAGACTGGCTTTAAAAATACTCCACACATTTAGCGGTTAGTGAGAGTTAGGGTACAACCCCCCCCCCATTAAAAAGCATCCAATCACGCTACGGGCAGCAACTTATTAAATGAGGGGAAAGGCAATGGAATACCAAGTTGGGTACATTGTTTGCTCTGTGAATATTCCCAAATTTGATGGGAAGGAAAGGGAGCGTTTTCCCATCGCTGAACAGAGTTCGCCACAGGTGTATTCAATTTTCTGAGTATGATTCAAGTTTCTAGAGAGTGAATTCACCCATTTACGTACCATGACTTGACTATATTTCATATTCAATCACTTCTACAATACTCAACTTACCTTTTCTCCGCCTTTGTGTCGGCCTCTTTTACAACTGCGAATCACTCTTCCATCCCCTCTCTCTACTTTTTGGGACTTTGAAGTTCCTCCCCTCTGTGAGGTTCGAAGTCGACTAAAGAGTTAATGATAACTATCATAAAGAGGACCATTTGACATGAACAAGTCTAGGGCACATATGCCCACTTCCAAAGAATTCTGTGCAGATTTAGAGAAATTCACTTTATTATTCCCCTAATAAAGCATTTACTAAAACACGCTATTAACAGGAATCATCTGATATGAGCAAATTTTCTTATAAAAGTGTATAGCATCGGGTCTTTTAAATGTTAAACACAGCCATAGCAGAACAGCAGAACACTTTGGTTAATATTCCATTCTGAGATTTATTTCATCTTATTATCGAAGTAATCCAATACATTTCTTATCACATTTTTGTGTATCAAACGCTCTTCTGTATCCCCTATTATTTAGAACACAAATGTTTCCATTAAATTGGTTCATTTATAAAATGACAATAGAAAAATACATACCCCCTGAAAATGCTGGAATTGCTCTTGAAGCAGCCATTCGAAGTTGAATTGACTCTCCGACAGGTTTTGGGGAGCGCATAAATTGAACTGTATTCTAAAATTTAGGCTATACACTTTAGCCAACAAAAGCAAAAAAATACGTGCACCAAGATGACGAGAAAAAATCTCATTTTCATCCACTAGTCAGACAAATACAACGTTTAAGACCTAGAGGCTCAGCAGTTTGGAACGCAAGGTCATGTAGTACATAACCTCCACACCAATCTAGTTGCCACGTTACGATCACAGCATTAGGTATCTCTTAATCAGCGCTAAGGCTCATTTCATTGGCTTTCAATCCCCAAAACTTCTCTCCTTCCCACTTCACTCATTTTGTTTTCTTTTGTCTAATATGCTCATGGTACGAGTCAACTCTCGATCTTCTGATTTGATAACGAGCATCAATTTTTAAGCCAATATGTCTAAATAAAACCTCTGGGTTATTTCCGGCTAAAAGTTTCAAAAATGGTATGTAAAACACTTCTACGTCCTTTCAGATTTATCCATCCTCATCTAACTCATGATACTAGTGGCAACGTCACACATAATTGGCAATGACGATGTTGCGAGAATTATCAAATTATATTCACTTTATCCAACTCCTTGATACGATTCTACCTGAAGTTGATCTCCGATCATAACTGTTGCTACAAATACTTAACTTTCAAGTTAATGTCCCATATACCACATTTAGCTCATTCGGTCATTCACATATTGAACTCACTTCTCCACTAACCAATAGTAGAAGACTCTTATTCTACATTCTCAACCTGTCTTCAGTTTTCAAATTTGTTATATCAAGGTATTCCACCGTAATATTGATTAGGGGTGTTACTCATACACTATCTATGCTTGCCGATATTTAGAGGATTTTCGATAACCGATTCAAGTGGCTTTCTAAAATTATTTCTAATGAGGTATAACTATGCAAAGCACCTGATTAACAGAATGACGTGGAGAGTGTCCTTATGATCCCATACTCAACGTCATATAGAAGCATATGTGCAATATAATCATTGGTAAGATAAAATGTTCAAAAATTAGAACTGGGTACGTACATCCACAAACCAACTTCGAACATCCTCTGGATATGGCAAATTTAACAGGCTTTTGAGAACATCTGGAACCATAAAAGCATCTCCAGTTTCCAAATAAATGGATTGCATAATAGGATCACTAGGAACTACAAAAGCGACTGCCTTCACTTTGGACTTCAAACTGAGCCAGTACTTTAGGGCTCGACCGACCCAGGCCTGTAGATTTTCCTCATGGAAACCCAATTCGTTCTCTGAATTGAGAAAATAAATTCCCAATGCCTCACTCTCTAATCATTAAGAGTGAAAAGAAAGTAGATACACACACACTCAAACATACCTCCATTGGGGGAGACGAATTCGTCAGAGGTCTCCTCCTGAGATTTGAAATCCAATGCTTCGGACTCACTTTCGCTAAAAAAAGAGAAGCGGTTTTCAGACGTGATTATAGGGTAAGGAGGAGGGAAAGAGGAAGGGGCAGGGGGAGGGAGGGATAGAGTAAACCTACCTGAGTGTGCGAAAAGCCAGAGAAGAATTGAAAAGCATTAAGTTCACCAATGCTGGACAATCAAGAAGGCGTTGAATACTGAGAGGGGGGAGGAAAAATTTCGACATTGTGAAGACAGTGAAGTTTGAATTTATCTCTTGAAGGGAACAAGATACTTACAGCAATTTAGCACTACAAGCAATGGATGCACAAGAAATAGTTGATTTATGCAAAATAAGAGAAGAATAAAGGGGGGCATTATGAACAAAATATTTTGGGGCATACGTTTTATCCCGACGGAGCCACCGAGGTGTCCTCTTTTCACTTTAAAAGTTAAAAAAAAATTAAAGAATTAGAGTACAATTGGTAATACATCATGGAATTGTTTCCCTAGGGGGCTTTTATTCCGGTTGAAATGTTTCATATTTTTAAGAAAATATGTAAAAAAAATCGAAATGACATGCCGAGTTATTCAATTTACCAAGATGAAAGTGATGATTATACATGAACTTACAGGAACTCAGGAATGAAATCATAGAGCATCTAAACATTGGAGGTGAAGTAGAATCCTTTTGAGAAACCAGAATTCAAATTACTTAGAACTTCTGGCAAACACCACATACTCCATTTCTACTCTTTCAGTTTCTTATAGCCGCTATGGAGGAGCCACTTGTTAAGTTCACAGTACTCTAATGCGATTTAAGTAAATCAAAATATTCGATAGTTACTCCGATTTAAGTGAGAAACTGGACTCTCAAAAAAAAGTTCTGAAAGTGTTCACCATGAACTTCAATACATAAATTAGGACGTTCCAACACGTTCTGGGGAAAATTTTGCCAATTTCATTTGGCGTGACTTTCCAGTGGTATTGCGAATATTCATTTTAAATCTTTTGAGGTCGTTTTGAATGGTTCGCATATGCAACCGACCCAGGTTGTTCTGACACGACGTTCGTTTGGCAGATAACCCTTCATTCAACGTCACAAAGAAATTTCAACAACATGCCCTATTTGCTTGAAATTGACATTGAGCAGAACTGTATTCATAAGGGTTGTTATCGATTAACGTTGAAACAATGAGCTATATGCAGTGAGGCATCACACGGAAACTCTTATATTGGAGAGATGAGCTGTGTGATAGACTTACCTCCACGTGGTACCCCCAGGGCAACATATACTCAAACGGCAAAAAGTCTATAAACTGGCTGTTGACTTCTAACTACTATCACCCAACTGTATGCCATATTCCACCATTTCAGCAGATCTCGCCTTACCTTATATTCAACATTTGTGTCCGTCTGTCTCTTTTACATCTGTGAATCATTATTCTGTCCCCCCTCTCGACTTTTTGTCACTTTGATGTTCCCCCTCCTCCTCTGTGAAGCCTGAAGTCAGCTAAAGGGCTAATGATAATTAACAAAATGCCTGCCATTTGAAATAAATAAATAAATAAATATTGGAGAGATACGTATTGAACGTTGGGGAGGGGAGGGGGGTAGGGGAAGGGTAAAATTTCATTCAGGAACCAGGAAGTTCATAACTGGAAATATGACATGACACCATAAACTATAAATATTGATTAAAAAACGAACAGCTTGACGACTCCAAGTTCGCGTGGAGTAGGTTACGCTGATCTTATTCCCCATCTTTTTCATTTCCACATTTCCATCCTCCAAACGAGTGGATATCCCCTCCTCCCCTCACCTCTAAATTATCTGAATTATTCTCGCGCTTATTGCATTCTTATCAGACGAACTTTGGAAACTCTCAAAGGTACTCTTAGTTTAAAGTTTAATTTTATCCAAGGGGGTAAAGAAGAAACTGATAGAACGCTTACACAAAGTCATGGCTAGATCAAATTAGGACTTGAAGGAAACCAATAGTGCCGAAAGTGTAAACCTTCACCTTCTAGGAATTCAACCGAAGTCAATCAAGTGCAAAATCGAATATTTCATAATAGAAAGACAGCTCTACTTTAACACTGATAGAATCGCTGTTCTTCAGGGACTTCGATTCCCGATTCCCTACTGTCCCCACTGCTACAAAAGACAGAGTTGTTTGATCCACCACAACTAGATACATCACCCTAAGTTGGTTTCATTAAAAATATTCTTACGGAAACAGCACAAATGAAGGCATAGTTTCTCAAGGGGTGATTAGGGAGAAAATGAAATTTATAAATTCCACTGAACAAATCACCATTACCTTTCCCCGAGGCATATAATTGTGCCTTGATCTCATATTTTGCAGTGCTTACTTTTTTCATAAACAAAGGAACACATGGCCCATAATTAAAGTGGAATTAGTAGATTGGAGAAGTGGAATTAGAAGGGGAAGCACTCACATCAAAGTAGAAAGGAAGACTTGTCCTGGATCCACCATCGAATAATCGGAGAGGGGATAGATGAAAGGTTCTTCAGCCCTCCTATGTACCCAAACTGATATTTTTGTGGAACTGCAAAGCGAAATCAAGTTGTCCCAAATTTGCGCAAATCTCTCCGTGTTACTCAAACAGGACTTAAAATTAAAAAAGAAGGGAAAATACGATGTTTTAATGAAATATCTCATTTGCGAATACTGGGTACGCAATAGACTTACCTCCACGTGGTGCACCATGGGCAACGTATATTAGACTTACCTCCACGTGGTGCACCATGGGCAACGTATACTTTTACGGCAAAAAGTCTATTAATCGGGACTTGGCTTCTGACTTCAAACTAGTATGACCCGACTGTTTGTCATATTCGGCCCCTTTCACTGTACTCATCTTACCTTTCCCATGCCTTTTTGTCTCTCTGTCTCTTTTACATCTGTCAATCATTATTCTGTCCCCCTCTCGATTTGCTTTCACTTTTGGTGTTCCTCCTCTCTCTCTGTGAAGCCCCGAAGTCAGCTTAATGGCTAATGATAACTGTCAAAACGTCAGCCATTTGAAATAAATAAATCATTTGCAGATATTGATTTAGTCAGTGGTGGTATCTTACCGTGCTTGCTATAAGCCATTTCTTTTTTTGGAAGTAAAATTTAGCCGAGTAATCTTTTTGTTGAGCCTCTTCCTCCGAAACTGGAGCGATGGAGCAGTTGAGTGTTGCATAGTTACTTCTATCAGTGTACTCGGAACTAACGAAAGAAGGTAGAAGAGAGACATATTACATACAAAGAAAAAGACTATCTTAGATTAGTAATAATAAGTGCTTAGTACACTTAGGAATTCCAGATCCACTCTTACGAAAAAATAGCGAATCTTATGAGGTTGATCTTCTTCACCCCTGGTTAACCTCGTGATCTCTGACCTGGCATGCGTATACGTTGAGCACTACGGTATCAGCTCACAGAAACTTACATCAGTTTCCGCCATAGAAAGTACTGATTTCACTTTATTCAGTAGATGCAGGATATTTCATATCGCTCTTATGTGAAACTCGTATTATCTCACCTCCTTTTTCCCCAGAACTATCTCGTGCGCTCGGTAATCCAACTCTTTGGATCTGTATCGTGACCTCGTGACTGTTGAGGCTCATGACCCCTCCCTCACCCGGCCTATACTAAAACTTTTATTTACCATCAACTTACGGGACAAGACCATCCAAGGTGAGATGATTGAGATTAACAAAAGCCACGCGGTAGCCTCGCTTATGAGCTTCTTCAACAAGACCTTCCTGTGAAACATGCTTGATATCTTCAGGAGCTACTTTCACTGGTGATAAAAGAGTTGTATCCCAGACACCAATAGCGCTAGGATTGGTTGATTGCAGAACAAGTAGTAAGGGACCCATGTAGGTAAAGAAATCCATCGAATGAAGTACATTCAAACGTAAACCCGGACATTCAGCTAACTAAGAGGAAGGGGGCAAAAGAAAAACGACTTTTTTATTAACCAGCTAATTAATTATTCAATCCATCAAAGCCTTTTTTGTAAATTACAGGAATCTCGGTGAATACCATATGATGACGCATGATCAGATTTCGTTGAATTAGTCTCGTTGTCAACTAAGAAAAAGGGTGAATAAAATAATGAAGAAATCAAATAAAGGTCATTTCAAACTCACTGCTGACTTACGACTGTAAATAACCCGCTTTCAACGGCTGTCCTTTTTCTCTCTTCCCAATCGAATTCTAATAAGAGACGTTAGTTTCCATCAGTAATTCTAATTTTTAGACTGCAATGATTCAGGGACAATTTGCACACTAATTCACTTTAAAAGCACCAAAAATGCTCTGAGTAGGTCCACTACCTAGCTGGTCGAACTGGAGAACAGAGCACGGCACTCTGAATGGACCAATAGGGAATGGGAAACTGGAATACTGTGTGACACTTTTCCACGTTAGGGTATAATTTCTTCTTCATGCCCTTTGCGTGGCAAGAACCTCATACTTTAACCCATTTAAGTTCAAGGGGACTTACCTATAGGTTTCTCGAATTTGATTTTGAGGGGATTTAGAATTTGACCTAATAGCCATTCAACGTGGGTTGGCACTGGATACATCTCCAAGGTAAACACTTTTGGCGAGATAACTGACATGGAACAAGAATTGTTAAATTAAGGATTTTAAATGAGAGGTAAGTTTAGTTATTTATGGTATAACTTACAAACCACTCGAGAGTTGGGATAAAGTGAAAGATAAGAATCGGATGATGATTTTTGAATCTGCTTCAAATCATCTAAAGCATACATTAGATTGAGATGGATCGCTACTTATATTGATAATAAAATAATAAGCATGATTAGATCTACACAGGATTTCGTCACTGGAATTTATTCAATGAGTCTTGATTCTAATTGATTCGGGAATGCGTGTTCTCATACGTGCTCTCAGACCAAAATAGAACGAATTCGTAAAATACGCAGTCATTAAAATGCAAATTTATCAAGGCATCTACTTTTGAAAATTGTTTATTAACAAACGTTCTCATTTCAAATTATCTGCAAAGCCATGCTCTCAGAAACTAAGTTACTATAAAAATATATCATGACATTAAGATTTGGAAAAGGTGATGCCCGACTGTGCCTCATATTTTCGAAACAATCTATTTGGAGATAAAAATTAAGTCATTTTCCTCTCCTAAAGTACTAATTATCTCCACTAAAGTGTATTTTACAAAATATAAAGGAAAATATATCAATCTAGGACGGCTGCACACGAAATGATAAATGTTTATAATTAATAATTAAACAATTCAAATTTCGGATGTTTCTATTCTTAAAATAGCCAAACTAGAAGTTAATTTTTATAAAATGGTGCAAAAATAGTTAAAAAAATTTTGTAACTTTCTAAATTAGCAGTTAAAACTTTAATAGGTGGAAGTTAATGATTCATTACTCTTGAAGAAGAAGACCATGATAAAATAATTATTAGTGACCATAAAATAAATTGCAACTTTTAATCAAAGATCTGAGTTCTTAATAAAATGTACATACCTTCGTTTTTGATACCTGTATTAGAAAGTTTGTATTTAAAGTTTTAAATACTCCAATGTGCTAATTCGTAAGCAATACTAAATAAAAGCGGCAAAATTTATCGACATGAATCTTATTTGAGCAAACTGGGGTGCGCGATAGACTTACCACCACGTGGTGTACCCTGGGTAACGTATACTCATACGGCAAAAAAGTCTATTTTTCGGCAGTTGACTTCGGACTTCAAACTACCTTGACCCCACTGTATGTCAAATGCGACCACTTTGACAGTACTCATCTTACCTTTTCTCTGCATTTGTGCCCAACTGTCAATTTATATCTGTGACTCACTCTTCTTTCCCCTTCTCGAATTTTTTTCATTATGATGTTCCTCCCTACTGTGAAGTCCGAAGTCAGCTTAAGGGCTAATGATCACTTTCAAAACGCCTGCCATTTGAAATAGATACATTTGAGCAAGCTTTAAATGAAACTAGTCTCAACAATCATGCGTGCAAGTATACGGAATAATTAATATCTGTGATAAATCGATTATGAAGTGTGAATCATCTAAAAAAGCATATATTTATACGAATCTAAAGAAAAGATAATATTCCAAAATGAACTTTAGTATAGTCAATTATCGTAGAAGCATTATACTCGTAAACGTGAAATGCAAAATTATATATTGGTTTTTGTTACAGAATTTGAAGACCCAATGAAATGAAGAGACTTAAACATATCGAAGGAAAGGAGCGTATTGAATTAAATTAACTACGGAGTCATAATGAGAACTTATACAAACAAAAAATCCGTAGATTTGATTGAACTGGACTAGTAGGTGCTAGAAATCAAATTATTATTATTATTAAATTATTCCGAAATATAATGAAAATAAGACTTTTAAAAATTCAATTGCAAACAAAATTTAAAATGGAAAGGCAATCACTTCTGCAAATTTTGAGATAAGTAAAATATAAAATATTGATCTCCCTAAACGATAAATAACGTGTTTGACCAAAAAGAGTAATAGAATTGGCAATTTCAACTTAATAATTGGTGGCACATTTGCTTCCAACTGAACTTAAAAGAAGTTAAATCACGAAGATAATTTTATCAAGCCTTTCCTCACACTTTTCTTGAACAGAAGTATCGCATCAAATTCAATCAACCTTGTTGTTCTAGTGGCTCAACAGCTGAAGTTGGCGATTCATTTATACATTCTGGCTTTGCAGATGGCTTTTAATTCTTTAAAGTTTTTGTACCGCATAATCCATTTTGATTTCACGAAAAAACGTGAAAACTAAGATCTGTGCAAGTAAAAAGTGAAGTTTAATACCTTAACTCTCTTAGGACTGTACAACACCCTTTCGAAACTACCTATATTGATACTAGACTATTGTTAGTTGAAACATGTTCAATGCGTGTCTTTAGCCTTCGCCGGCATCAGTCTGCTGAGACGTGCATGAGCGCGTTTGGATGCGTTTTTCAAAAATAATTCGGACGATAAGGGGTTATATAAGCTTCTAACGTCATAGAAATTGAACATTTACAGAGGATAGATTATTTTTTTACATGGGAATGTAGTAAAGGAATTGATTATACAGATACAGTCATTTTCTCATTGAAACAGTTGAAAAATGTTATTTGTGGAATTAGTAACCTCGTGACTAAACGTGCCTCCTCGTTTTTTTAAAACCGAACTTCTTTTTCATGGTCCAAATATTGTAATATAAGTAATTAACATTTTAATATTGGAATTTAAATGTAAATTTATCATTGTAGAATTAATTACCAAATATGAATAAGCGTCGTTCTTATTAATTTTTAGCATAAATTAAAAATTTTAAAATTATGTTTAAGTATGAATTACAATTTCAAACGAATACTTACTATTCCCGGTTTTAATTTGGCTTTTTTCTAGAATTAATCGTAATCAAAGTTCAAGTAAAATAATATTTCATAAATTCTGTTCGACTTATTTCAAGTAATTTATAGAAAAGTTTTTAAAACACTTGACGGAATTATTTTTGGCAAAAAACCACGACTTGTTCTTTGAATGTGTATAATCAAATCGATCAATTACCATTGTCATCCAATACGTCGATTGCTAAGCAGAAATCGAAAAACAATCATGATACTATCAAAATTCAATGTACGGAAATATTATATAAACTCAATTTTATTCACATTCCTTACTATGTATTTTAAAGTAAATTAATATCGATTGTCTATTTAATTTTAGAATAAAAGCGCTTAAAAGAAGGAAACTAAATTTCAATCAATTATTAGAGATGATGGGATTTACAAAAGTCTGATCACAGGCGGACCTAATAAAATATATTGAATCTTATTTGAATTTTATAATGAGTGTACATGATATTTGTCAGCCAATTAACGTCAAATTATGAATTTTCCTAATCCTTTCCTCAAAATCGAGCTCTTTGAAATCTACGCTTTCCTCGACTATAATAAGCAACATCGAAAAATGTACTATCATTACAATTCAAAAATCCAGTATATTCATCGTTTTACGATTTCAATTTTATACTATCCATTCTTAATCTAAAGTTTATTCGTGCATCAATTTTAGAAATTATTGATAAATAAATAAACGCAAATTTCCTTTTAACCCCAGTTATTAAATAAACTCAAGCAATAATAGTTTGATAGCCAACAAATAAACAAATTTGGTAAATCTTAAGAACAGTTTTTGCGCAAAAAATTTAAAAAAATGAGGTTAGTCAAATGAAAAAAAAACTTTATTTGTTTAATTAAGCTTAAAATTATCTAGACTAAATTATTATTTTAATTTTATTAAATCAAACTTAGTCAGCAAACAGTGCAAATTTCTTTCACTTGGTGTAAAAATCAACCTTTTTCCCTAGTATCCTTTGTCTGTAGTAAGGGAACAATTTTAAAAATAACGCTTTGTAAAGAATTGAAAAATTTATAGACTTCTCTAGCGACTTGACCAGTGTATTTAGTTAAATGAGATTTAATGGACAGATTTAATGCTCTCATTTTTCGCCTTTTCCTATACTTTCAGTTTTTTTAGCGATGCCTATAAGTAGTATTCTTTTATTATGTTAGCAAAAATCAATTCATTTTCCAACAAATCGATTTTATAGATTTTTCAAAATATGTTGTTACGAGCATTTATCCATAGTATACTTCCTTTAATTCAAAGAAATTAATAAACCTCAAGTGGATTAACGAAATTGTGACCATTTCTGATATATTCATACAATAAAATGGTCTTTTTGAATATTACCAAAATTATTGACAACCATTCATTCTGTATTTTTAGAAAAAAGCCTAACTTGGCAAATGAAAAATGGGAACTGATAGACAGTCTATTAACAAAATTGTTCAACGCAGACATCACGAATTACAAAAGATTAGGAATAAAATATAAATGATAGATATTATGGAATCCAGCCGGTTATTTTGAGAGCTCAATTCTTAGACAACCTTAATATAGAAAATTATTTCTTAATTTGCTTGCATTACATTTATTAAATGTCAAAGGAGAAATAGCAGAACGCGGTCAATTAAATCAGAACGAAATTTCTACGCTAATAAATATCGAATATAAATTTATATACCTTTCTCAATGCTTCCACGTATATCTTGCGTCTTTAAAAACGTCACTAAAAATATAAATAAATATATATAAATTAAATATATTTTCAAATATAAATATAAATCGTTTTCTGTGTGCCATAGTTATAAGAAAATAAAAACAGTAAAGGTGTACAAATTTGAAATGTTCCATTGAACTTCTATAATTATTTAGACAATAAAATAGATAAATAAAATAAAGATTATAACGTAGAAGCAAGACCTTTGCGCGATGAATAGTCCACTTGAATTATTGTTCCTATTTAAAAAAAACGATAAGCATTGTATTAAATTATTTTTATACTTTTATTGACATGAATTTTATTTTCGAAATATTTTACCGCCAGAGAATACGGGTGGATAAACTTGAATCCCTTCAAATAGGAAATAGATAATAAAAGTATGGCTGTAAGTATAGTACAGCCATGCAAAATAATAAACTTACCGTTTACAAAAGTGTCAGATATTTTGACTATTTTTTTCCCAACTAAATTTTAAAAAGTTGGGCTTTAAAATATTTACTTGATACTTAAAAAATAGAAGTGGTATCATCTCGTTCTCAACGGTCATGTATCGCAAAACCTATTTAAAACCTATAGAATTTTTGCGTTATTGAATCGTATTATATGTTTATGTTCAAAACAAGTCTACCCAAC